AAGACATTAATAATGATTGAATTAAATGAAACATATTCAATGTTGAATAGGTTGCAATGTTAATGAATTCCGTTTGAGAGAAAACTTTTCAATCAAAATGAATTGAATCGATATTACTTATATTAATCATTATGAATAGAAGAAATGAGATGAAAATAATTGTGAAATAAATAAGTAACAAGTAAATAGTATTGAACTGGAATCGAACTACATCATGAGACAAGCGATAACATGGAATCGTGAAGGGAAACATACAACAAGAAGAAGAAGACGGTCGAAGAATACACTATGTCGGAACTTGGAAACAGACATGAAAAAAAGGAATATTAATTGAAAAGTACTAGTTGATAAGTGATCTCCTCGCATCTCATTAAATTCCTTATCCAGTACAAATATAATCTATAATAAGAAGGTAACCTTTTTAAAATGGTTGAAACATTAAAATAAATGTAAAAGTGAATGGGATAATCGGTATTCCTTATTGGTTATATAACTCAATGGTTCTGCCCACAGTCGACTTAATTATCTCGATAATTTGCCGTAAAAGCGCATTGACATCGAAAGGGGTTTTCATACATATTATAGTTATTTCAATAGTTGAGTTAATGAGTCAATCGACACTAGACCACCATGGAAAACCCGAAAGCGCTGAACGGTCGTTTCGTCTCATTGTGGAACTCCCCAGCAATGCGCATCCGAGCTCCCATCTCGCGAGATTTGAACTCAGGACCTATCGGTCTTGCGCACCGACGCTTAACCACAAGACCACGGAGCCGGCCGGCCGGCATCCAACAGTGGTAATATCTGACCTCAACTAATCCACAAAATTGAGCGACACATTCACCATATTTAGACCATTGCATTCGGCTACGAAGAATGGGAACTTCAACATCGGTTAATTGGTCATTCTCATTTTCCTATTATCGTAAATTAACTGAAGTTCAAAATTTGAAACATAGTATGACGAATTATGGAACTACGTCCACTGTTGGAACTTGAAGTAATTATTTTTTCCTAGGTATGACCACCATAGCTCATTGATAAACAAATTGACAGCGATAACTAACAAATCTAATGGATATCATGTATGTATATATATCTTGTGAATATAAATAAGTAATCAATCTCATTGTGGACATGATTAAATGACATAGTATAGTTATTCGGAAGTGTCTACAGCTAATGAATGAGTTTAGCAAATCCTATCAGATATTTCAGATTGTACACTTTTATTAATGATATTTTACTCTAGTTGCAGTTCAGAGTTTTTGAGATGGTGAAGAAGATTTGTAGCTCGGATGGATTAATTTGTGTGAAATTTTGTCCTTTGAGCTGGATGGTTTGGTAGTGAAGCTTTCATCGTTCTTGTGAACGATATCATCAAGTAGACTTCTTCAGGTGACTTCTACCTGAAGATGTCGTTCAGAAGAATGATGAAAGCTCCACGACCAAACCATCTAGTTCATAGAATAAAACTCCAACAAAATTCAGAGTTTCCAATATGGCAGGCATAAATGAACGATAATAATTATGTAAGAACATATGTAATTAATCAGTATATTCTTAACAACCAGTTAAATATAAAGAAATTCATTGTCGTTTGCTTCTCATGAGAAGAAGAATCTAAAGTAGTCGGTCACCAAATCATTAAATAAGAACTGATTAAAGTACTTTCATCATGATAGAGAAATTTGTGGGATAAGTTCAATTTGGTGATATTTTTCATTATGGGATGTGTTCAATTTATAAAACTTTGGAAGTAGCACTAGTAACAACTTATTCGATAGTGAGTACTCACACCGGACTTAACCACAGATGTAATTAGTACTTGTATGTTTCTCAGCGAATTTATTATGTACAGACTATCAATTCAAAAAAAGGTATACAGGACATTCGAAATGATTGAATTTCATTGGTCAATGGTTTTAATGGAATTTTGAAAATCTATCTGGAGTTACTTATAGCGGGAAAACAGGAATAATATTTCGGTGATGGGTTTATTGTTTTATGATCATTAACCCATTTCAATATTGTTAGAAACGCAGTTTCGAAATTGTAAACAGCGTTGGATGGTAGCTAGTAGTGGAGTCCAAGATGTATATTTCGTCTTATCTGACACTCATCAGCTGGATGTACCTACATTTGAGTTGATCTTCACTCTAGAAATCCAATCTAGTACTGTTCACTTCAAACGCCATCGTGTTATCCACATAGCTTCTGATTTTATGGAATAGTGATGTACATAAATAAAAAAGCCACTGATCATTTACAGTCCTAAACACCATTTTGAAGATTCTGACATACAATATATATGAATTTAACTCCACGTCATTGCACAATCTAGTAACTATGTGAACTCAGTAGCCAAGGTAATTATGCAATGGCGTTTGAAGTGCACGTTACTGGGTTCGAGTTTCGAAATGAATATCAACTGTGGGATGCAAATACATCCAACTGACAATTCCCAAATAAGACAAAAGTGGTGTTTGGATTCCGTTGCTATCCAACATCCATCTCTGTTCATCACGACTTGCAATGCTGACCAATGTAGATGATGGTTGGTGCCAAGAAGTGGCACCAATTCATGAAGTCACCAACTTCTAGTCTTAGCCATGTTGATAGATGTAAACTAATTGGTTGTGGTTCGCGTTAATATCGTAACCAATGGTTGGAGACTGGGTAATATGGCTCAGAATCGATCACAATGGTGTAGATGTATACACGATTTGTGCTCCTTTAAACTATGTGATTAAAATTATTTCATATCTTTCATTCTATCAACTAATTCTTTCTTCCTGTACTATATCCTTACATTCAATCTTTCGTTTATATATTGCCACAACTTAATTAACTACCTTTATGAATTTGGTGTTCATCTTGATGTGCTAATGAGGTTATGGCGACTTGGATTGAAGCATATATATGCCTGGTCCTACGTTGTAACTGACTGACTGACTGACTGACTGACTAATGACAGTATTGAGACAATTCGCACAGGATGTATATATACTAAAAGACACTGGTCAGTTACTAATCTTTCACATCAATGCGAAGATTCAAACAACCGATACAAATCAATTAATACAATATGATTAATTATAAAATGTAATTCCTAAAACAATACAAAGAAAGAAACATCGACAGTTATGACTGTCTACAATAAAACTTGATATTTATAGGGTATCAACTACTTATGTACATGAATTACAAAGACCATTCATCACATAAGAACATTTTTTGACGGAGTTTTGTTCTCTGAGCTGGATGGTGTGGTCGTGGAGCTTTCATCAATCTTCTGAACGACATCATCAGCACAAACTTCAGATAGATGATGAAAGCTCCACGACCAAACCATCCAACTCAGAGAACAAAACTCCATCAAAATCATCTACCTCAGCTACAAATCTTCCCCACCATCTCATTACCTAAGAACATCAAATAAATAATAAACCATATTACAAAATGTATGTCTAATGTTAGATTAGTACACTTTCAATGAATAGTTCAAAGGGATATCTACAATTGTATATGATATAATCCATTCAATTGAGTGGAAAATATCTATGAACTAAACTCTTATTATCAATATTTCAGAATGTTAACAAACATAAAAAGAAAAACAAACTTTAATTTATTCTTGGATTTGATTAGTAAACAACTTATGGATAATAATTAAACTATCATTTTCACTATGGATTAATATTATTCAGATAGCTATTGTAAACCAGAGAAAACTCATTTATTCTGAAAACAGTTAGGTAAATCTAGCTGACGAGTGTCGAATAGGACGAAACGCAGAGCCTAGATTCCATCGATAACCATCATCCATCTTTGCTTAAAACAGTATCGAGGCAGTACACACAGGATACATATATGATAACAAGGGACTAATCAATTTCATTCCTCAACAGCAATTGGAAGATACAAGCAAATAATAAAGCAAGATATAAGGTATTAATTTTGACGAGAATGTTATTTCCATTAGTAGGTCTATGATGAAGTTAAACAAAAATGGAGAAAGTGGACAGTCTTGTCGGACACCACTTGAGGTTGCAAAAGTAGATGATAGTTCGCCATGAGCTCTGACTCTACTAGTAGTGTTCGAGTAAAGAGCCTTCACAAGGTTTATGTACTTCTGAGGTAAGCCTTTCAATGACAGACACTGCCACAGAATCTCGCGGTCTACCGAGTCAAATGCTAGTTTTAAGTCAAGAAAGACCACCATTGTCGGACGTCGATAAGTATGCCTGTGTTCTAGAACCTGACGAATGGTGAATATGTGGTCGATGCAGCCACGACCAGGTCTGAAGCCAGCTTGATTCTCTCGTGTTTGCAGTTCATGAGTCTTAGTTAGGCGTCTGATAATTATCGGGGCTAGTATTTTAGATACTGTATTAGTTAAACTAATCCCTCTATGGTTTTCACAGGATGATTTTAACGCTCTCTTATCTATCGGGACGATAAGTGATTGTGACCAGTCAGATGGAATAACGTCTAACTCCCAAATCTTATCTAAAATATCAGTCAACCTAATCGTCAAAATTGGATTACCACCCTTAAAATTATCTGGAGTCAATCCATCTGGACCAGCTACCCTTCCTGGTTTCCGACTAACTATAGCCTTTTGAACTTCTGCTAGAGTTGGGGGACCTACTTCAATGTTCCATTCACACAGTCTGGGAATGGAGGGTAGTTGTAGAAAAGCTGAAGGCCAACTGAACTGTGCTCTGTAATGTTCCGCCGATCGTTCTAAGTGTCTGGACTGAGAGGAGATGATAGTGTTGTCTTTTTCCGAAATAGTCTGACTTACACTTGACTCATTAATTCCAGTTTCTTTCATTAGTCTGTAGAGCTGTCTTGTGTTCCCTATAGCCGCCGCCTCTTCCATCTCTTTTGCTTTGGTTGCTCATCACTACTCACGTCTCCTACCTCATTGTCATATGCATTTGAAATACCTAATAGAAATGCAAATCAAACTTTACCAATGACTGACAATACAGAGTACCTCAGTTATTGTATGTCTGTATAATAGTATTATTAATAATAATAACGATAATAATAAAATACCTGCTAATATCGAATTTAGGAAGCAGCAGAGCGAATGGAATTCTAAAGATTCCACTGTTTTTCCAACATCGTATTATCATCCTTCGTCCGACCCTGCTGCTATTCATAATGTAAATAATTCTAATCAAGAAAATAATACGCATGTACAATCATCTCATCCACAATATGATGGTGATGAAGAAGACGAGGAAGTGGTAAACGATATGTAAGTTGTATTTGTTTTCCGTTTTTCCTCTCCGGTTTTACATTTTCTGGTCCAGTTGGTTTAATATTCCATTTACCAGATTCAGATTAATTTGCCTGGTTTTGAACCACACTCTGATTGTATCGAGCCTCTAAGTTACCGTGCCACATTTCCAGGCTAGTTGTATCACATTGATGAACATTTTGCTTTTCCTTGCTGTTAACAAATAGACTTAGCGACTGAAACAGTTGATTTTCACCCACTTGAGTGCAGTTCGAACCCTGGCCGATCTGCTTAGTTTTGAGCACCCGAGTAGTGTCAATGCGACCACTTACGAAAAAAATGTGACGCGAAGCCAAATATACATGGTTTGCCTAATAAATGCGCAAATTACGGTTGTGTAAACTTTTTAAATAAAGAATTTGAAGGTACATTAAAGTTATCTGACAAATATGTCGCGTCTGTTGTTATTATACTTATCCTGTCTCCATTTCAGTCAATTAAAACATTCCTAGGAATCCACGAAAATCATCCTCTCCAACGATTGTTCTGCATTTTCGCACTTCCGTATCGCATTAGTGTAATCTCTATCCAACCATTTTGGATTGTACAGACGAATAGGAATCATAGAATGCTATCTGTAAGGACAAGGAATCTTTATCTAGGGTAGTAGAGTTACGCACTGACAACTCGCGGCGAATCATTTTTGAATTTCCAGCTATATATTCGCCTATTTATGTAATGGATCCTGTGGATATGAAGAAATTGCACCTCATTAAATAGTTGTGGAATAGAGAATAATCACCACAGTCATCGTGACTGAATATAGTGACCTTTTAGATAAAATGGGACCGTTTGTTTGTTTAATGATGTCCATACGTAACAACAAAAATAACGCAGTTTATTTGCGTGTTGGCCACATACGGTATATGAGTTTTTTGTTTAATAGGTTCAATTGACTGTTGTGTTATTTTAGAATAAGGGAATCCTTTAACTTGGACTTCATTACTGTTGTTTACTGTCTAAACGAAAAACATAACATTGTAGTGACTCACGTTTATCACGAGAACACGACTGGTTTAATAAAAACAATTATTATTATAACCAACTGTACCAGTGTTTGTTTTAACGTGCTTTTGTTTGACTGTGCTAATGACAGCTATTTTGTGCTTCCATTCTTATACTTACACTTCGATTGTAACTTCGCGCGAATTCGGTTACCTTCTGTAACCAAGGTTGTATCCTGGCACGATCTCGGTATCCTTTCGATGCCACGAGATCGCCAGCAAATAAACCTCGACTTGGTCCATTAACTGTCTTCTGATATTTGAATTCTCGGGGATTTTATGGATCTATTTGGTTACGTCCAACCCTCGCCTTCTGATTCGCTTGACACGTGTTTCTTTGTAGCGGTGTTCACAGTTAACCTCAACTCGACGCCACGCTACAAAATGACGAAACAGTTGTACATTATTCTTGACTTCCCAATAATTGATGTTTAATTTTATTTGATAGCTTACAATTTATCAGTATGGTTCCCAATCAAATATTAAGATTAAGAAACTATAATTATTGATACTGGCGTTACGACTGTCTTCGATACTATTTATTTATTTAAACACAAATATTTGTACAAGGAGGCAACAAATATATATGCGTCACACCAATCATTAGTCTTTCAGATTAAATGTAATTGGTTATTGTTTTAAATTGTGAAATTTTAATAAAAGACATAAAATGCCCACCTGAATCAATAATGGTCAGTATCAAATTTATTGTAAATTACTCATTAGGATTTAACCGAATCAGTTAAAGCAATATTGTATCAGATAATATATGTTACTGTTTGATGTGATCCATTTTCTTTGTCCATACTCTGACGAAGCTTAATACTTCGTATTTAATCTTATGCAAACTATAATGTTTAAAGCATATTTGATCATACATCCAATGTCCCATAGCATTAAGAAAAATACTGTTCTCTGGGATCGTTGAAGAAGGATGAACCTGGGAAGATTATTGACATCTTGAATGGCTTGAAAACCGACATTTCAGGCAGAGTGAAGGTATACAACCACCCTCCATTGTTCCGTTCAAACAATGAGGTCAGATGGAGATACCTAATCTCTCCATTTCTCTTCAATTTTGCCATTGACTGCATCCTAGAAACAGAATTGACTGAATTAGGTGATGGTGATGTGAATTTGTTATCTGCAGAAAAACATTTCGACCCTGAGTATGTGGGTGATCTCGTTTTACGTTGCAATGGTGCTCGAGACAAATATTTCACACTTACTCAGTTGGCAATGGCTATTCGTAGGTACACAATATGCTTTGTACCTTAAATTACTTTTACAAGACTGTCAGGAGCCTGTGTCTGCAGGCACTTTTAATAGTGAGGATTTGAAAGTGGTTGTGTATTTGGGTAGCTGTGTTAGTGCTAATAGTGGCGTGACTGATGAGATCAATTGATTTATAGTGAAAGCCAGAGTGTCTTATACCAATCTGGGCCATGTTTGGTGTCTTTGACTCGTTGACTGGGCCCTACAGATAATGCAACACGGTGTCTTGAGATGTCATCAGACATAATTCAGAATAAAACTCAATGGCGGTCCTATTGTGTGCCAGAAGACGACATTTATTTGCCGGTACTAACCGGTACTATCCAGTTAAATTTGTTGAAGTATAGTAATATTAGAATTTCTTACTTAGTACCGATTTATTTAATCCGCTTTAAGATACACTTTAGTTATGAGAGCTAGTGATCATAACCGATGGGTTCTAGTTCGAGTCTGCTAATTACTGATTGAAATTCAAATACCTTAATCACTAAACCGTCGTTCTATGAAGAAATGAAAGGCTGAAAAGTGAGACACCAATTCGCAGTCCTATTAAGATCTTCTAAGCCATATTTAATGTATTACAGTCTACTGGACTAGGAACTCGATTCCTTTTTGTTTATCCATTTGCTTAATTTATTCGTCTGCATAATTTTCAACTCATTTTCGTAGGACTTCACAACTATAATACAAAACTCTGATAACTATATTTATCTATATATGTAGGTAATTCCTGATTATTTGATACAATATGCTTGAAGATAATTGAAAAGAAACAAATGACATTGAGTCTTTCTTTTTATATTCTACTTAGGAAATAAATGTTGAATTAGCTTCAATGTTAGAAAAATGCAATCGAGCATATGAATGTCCAACAGTTAAAATGAACTTAATGAAAGATCAATATGAACGTCGACATACAATAACTGAGGTACTCTGTATTGTCAGTCATTGGTAAAGTTTGATTTGCATTTCTATTAGGTATTTCAAATGCATATGACAATGAGGTAGGAGACGTGAGTAGTGATGAGCAACCAAAGCAAAAGAGATGGAAGAGGCGGCGGCTATAGGGAACACAAGACAGCTCTACAGACTAATGAAAGAAACTGGAATTAATGAGTCAAGTGTAAGTCAGACTATTTCGGAAAAAGACAACACTATCATCTCCTCTCAGTCCAGACACTTAGAACGATCGGCGGAACATTACAGAGCACAGTTCAGTTGGCCTTCAGCTTTTCTACAACTACCCTCCATTCCCAGACTGTGTGAATGGAACATTGAAGTAGGTCCCCCAACTCTAGCAGAAGTTCAAAAGGCTATAGTTAGTCGGAAACCAGGAAGGGTAGCTGGTCCAGATGGATTGACTCCAGATAATTTTAAGGGTGGTAATCCAATTTTGACGATTAGGTTGACTGATATTTTAGATAAGATTTGGGAGTTAGACGTTATTCCATCTGACTGGTCACAATCACTTATCGTCCCGATAGATAAGAGAGCGTTAAAATCATCCTGTGAAAACCATAGAGGGATTAGTTTAACTAATACAGTATCTAAAATACTAGCCCCGATAATTATCAGACGCCTAACTAAGACTCATGAACTGCAAACACGAGAGAATCAAGCTGGCTTCAGACCTGGTCGTGGCTGCATCGACCACATATTCACCATTCGTCAGGTTCTAGAACACAGGCATACTTATCGACGTCCGACAATGGTGGTCTTTCTTGACTTAAAACTAGCATTTGACTCGGTAGACCGCGAGATTCTGTGGCAGTGTCTGTCATTGAAAGGCTTACCTCAGAAGTACATAAACCTTGTGAAGGCTCTTTACTCGAACACTACTAGTAGAGTCAGAGCTCATGGCGAACTATCATCTACTTTTGCAACCTCAAGTGGTGTCCGACAAGACTGTCCACTTTCTCCATTTTTGTTTAACTTCATCATAGACCTATTGATGGAAATAACATTCTCGTCGACTGAATTCTTGGGCATTGATCTCCTTCCAGGAGGTCCACTTATCGATTTAGAATACGCGGATGAAATAGTCCTGTTAGATGGAGACGCTGATAAAATGCAGAGTCTTTTGGTTGCACTGAGCAACAATGCCAGAATGTTTGGAATTCGCTTCTCTCCCTCTAAATGCAGGTTGTCGCCATATTATTCTATGAACTAGATGGTTTGGCCTAGAAGCTTTCATCACCAATTATCCCATTCATTTTTACATTTATTTTAATGTTTCAACCATTTTAAAAGGGTTACCTTCTTACTATAGATTATATTTGTACTAGATAAGGAATTTAATGAGATGCGAGGAGATCACTTATCAACTAGTTACTAGTAAATTCCTTTTATATTGTCTGTTTGAATCTGCCCTTTAGTGTTTAAGATTTCAATTGATCAGTCTCTTATTAGCACATGTACATTCTATGCGGATTACTTCGATATTACCTTAAATTCACACGAAGTTTCAAATGAACAATACAAAATGAATTTAAACTTCATCCTATTGCACAAGCTAATGACTATCTGAACTCACTAGCTAAATCGATAACGTGATGACATTTGTAGCAAACACTACTGGATTCCATGCATGAATTGAACATCACCTATGAAATACAAATACATTCAGCTGACGAGTCCCAATTAAGACGAAACACGCATCATGCATTCCACTGCTAGCCATCATCAATCTTTACAAATTATAGTTACTAGTCAAGTACCAATGAAATATACGTCTGTTATTCTCTAATTTAATATATAGCTATTCTTAGGTAATAATCAAGCTAATAGATCGATTAAATTTTCTTTTTAAAAATGACACACATGATCTAATCAATTTATCTTCATTATTGTGATGAAATTTACTTATATCACTGAAAAGGGAATAAAAGAAGACAGACGTTTTATACTACTATTAAAGTAGTATCCATTATCTACAGATAGATATCTTTGATCCGATCCGATTGATTCAATGTTGAATAGATTCAACTTACTCATCATAATACATGGATTCATTTAACGAGGAAATGTTTTCTACAAACTCACTAACAAATAACAAAGGTTGTTTAGAAGAAGTAAGTTTCATATTCAATTTGTGCGAATATTAAATTTTCTTATGAATATATAAAGAATGAATATGAATTTTTAGTTTTCGAAGAAAGATTTCAATAGTTGAGATCATGAGTCAATTGAAACTAGACCACCATGGAAAATCTAGATACACTGGACGTCCGTTTCGTCCTATTGTGGGACCCCTCAGCAGTGCCCATCCACAACCTCGCCTCGCGAAATTCGAACTCAGGACCTAACAGTCTCGCGCGCGATATCTAACTTCAATCAATCCACGAAATTCAGTGACACATCCACCAATGTCTTCAGTGAGTTACTATCTCACAACAGACCCGGTTGAACTCCACTGCTCACTGCTTCTCACCAGAACTCCAGGAAGTATCTCTTGAAACCAGTCATTAATTATTATCTAAATAAGAATATGAATGACAGTGCGGAATGATTGAATTTAGGTACATAGAATATTAAAATTCGACTTTATGATCCATTCTTAATGTGAAATTCTTGAATATGATATCTGATTAAGTCATTCATGTACACTGTTAAAATGTTTCAAACTTGAACAAGTATTCAGCGTTGCGTGATCTTTAACGGTTTCTTGACATAGACCTCTCAGAGCAAAATGATATGAGAAAAAATAATACCTGTGTATAAGGAATAAAAAAGTAGAAAGAGTAAGAAAAAATTTGGATAAGCCTTGAATACAGTTACCGTCATAACTTTTAGTTATGAACTATGTGATGTTCGAATAATGAGATATCTAAAGTCTTACCCAATAAGTTGAAATTCTTTTTGTAGGGCTCAGTTCATCAATCAGTAATGGTATAGATTACTTTCTGCTAGGAATTAGAAGTATTCATCATTTACCACTAACCAACCTAAACCTTGCATGTAACATGGTAACTAGATAAACGTTGTTTCATCATCTGTGAGTCCACTCTTAAAATCACTTCCGTTATATCTTGAGCTTAGTTTCTTATTATATCGCGAACAATTTGAGCAGTCGAACGCTAAAACCCTCCTAAGTCGCAAGTTAGAACATAAAAGACAAGTAAAAGAAATGTTATTTCAAACAGCATCAATTATGGTACAAAAATGTCAGGTATTTATAGTTTCTAGTGAAGACGAATTCATCATTATAGCGCTTGAATATGCATACAGGTGGTTATAAGCATTTGTCCAATAGGGAAGCTACACATAGGAATTCCGGAACATTCTTCAAAAAATTGATTGACTGAAATATCTTCAGATATTTTTTTAAGCTTTCTATAGCTTCCTCGAGTTCACCCATGGGTCGTCCTCATAAATTCAAACAGCATTTCTATCTGACACATTTTAACCAATAAAAATTCAATGTTTATTTTATCAATTTCTTTTTCAACAGAATTCACTTCATCATTATCATTTTTGGACACTGAATAACGGCTTAAATTCACCAACGCGAACAATTGAATTAGATCAACTAACAAATTGGTTAATTGAGATGAAATCAATGATTTTAAAAACTGATATATTTTCCAAAAGTCAGTATGTACATTATCATATTCCTTTTTGTACAACACTTCAGAAACATCAGCATCATCATCATGTTGTTCTTCTTCCTTTTTGTGTTCTTGATCTGCTTGTTCTTCTTCATCTTCGGAATTTATTGGACCTGATGAAGAACAGTTGAGTGGTAAAGGTAATAAGAGATCAAAATGTTGTTTACATGACCTTAGATATAAACATAAACTTCAAAATCAAATAATATGATCACTTTATCAAAGTTGAAAATGAATCCTAAGCATTTCTTTATTATCAATTGTCGTTATTCACACGAATGTAATGCTGGACATATTTATAGTGCTATTAATTTATCAGATTGGCCAAAACTTTATAAATATTTTTATGGTATAAAACGATAATCTATTGAAACTACTGAAATGGATTTAAGTAACTCATTATATTCAACGGAACAACTGATTAAACCAAAACCATCTCATACTATATTTATATTATATTGTGAATTTTCTACAAAACGTGCATCACACTTATTTTATATTTTACGTGTTGATGACAGAGTATTACATTTCACTTCATATCCTGCATTAAAATATCCATTTGTTCTTCTTCTTCTTCTTCTTCTTCTTCTTCTTGTATGTTTCCCTTCACGATTCCATGTTATCGCTTGTCTCATGATGTAGTTCGATTCCAGTTCAATACTATTTACTTGTTACTTATTTATTTCACAATTATTTTCATCTCATTTCTTCTATTCATAATGATTAATATAAGTAATATCGATTCAATTCATTTTGATTGAAAAGTTTTCTCTCAAACGGAATTCATTAACATTGCAACCTATTCAACATTGAATATGTTTCATTTAATTCAATCATTATTAATGTCTTTGTTTAAATATATTTTTCTTTTATTTTCATTGGTTGATTCACTAGAATTAAAAGAGAAAAGCTTGACAGATACAACTTAAAAATGAGTTTATATGGAGAGAGAGACCGAAGGCCTTGGGTTTGAATCCCGCGAGCGGGTTCGTGGATGTGTACTGTTAAGGAGTCCCATAATATAATGAAACGGACAGCCAGTGCTTCTAGGTTTTCAACAGCGGTCTAACATCATTCGGTTCATGATCTCAATCATTAAACGTGTAATAATGTATTCAACTATTTATTCATCTGACAGTAGACTGTAATAAAGGAATAATGAAATCATTAAAAATGATTGATATTCAGAAGAGTTACAATAAACTGAATAGCTCAAATATTGATTTATTTAGCCTAAATAAAGCAATTTGTTGGTAGCAGGGAAATCCAGGAAGTGCGTTTTTCCTGATCTAGCACTTATCATTTCGGTGTACTTTCATTCAAGTTGATCTTCTCTCCGAAGCTCAAACCCAGTACTGTTCTCTTCAAATGCCATTCCGTTATCCACTTAACTACTAAGTACAGATAGCTACTGCCTTTTGGAGTGGAGTTAATTTTAATTTATACATATTGCTTGTTTGGATCTTTTCATTAATAGTTTACTAATGCAATTTCGAGATGGTGGAAAAGATTTGTAGCTCAAGTGGACAATTTTGATGGAGTTTCGTCCTCTGGACTGGATGGTCTAGTCGTGGAGCATTCATCGTTCTTCTGAACGACATTGTCAGCACAAACTTCAGGTAGACTTCTTCAGGTGACTTCTACCTGAAGATTTGTGCTGATGATGTCGTTCAGAAGAACGATGAAAGATCCACGACCAAACCATCCAGTTCAGAGAACAAAACTTCATCAAAAACTAATGCAAATGTTAAGTCTCTTCTGATATACATACATCCTATATGGATTGCCTAGATATTGTTTAATTTTCAAGCATTTTAAGCAAAGATGAATAGTGGCTAGCAATGGAATCTAGGATGCATGTTTTACCCTGCTCGGATTTCATAAGGTGAACTTACCTGTTCAACTACAGTCATAAAACGTAAATAGGAAGATGCAAACAACTAATATATATAATCACAATCAGAGAGGGATTTTCTGGAGATTGTAGTTGTTTAATAATTGAATGTTTGAGTCATCTGAAATTAGACCATCATGGTAAACCTAGAACTACTGGACGGCCGTTTCATCCCACTATGGGACTCCTTTGCAGGGCACATTCACGATGCCTGCTCGTGAGATTCGAACTCAGGACTGGAATGATTGAAGTAAGACATTTCTGAAAAGATTTTTCTCCTTTATACAACTGAATAAAACGTTTGGTTAACAAATATTTCAATCCCATTTTATGTAAGTCATATTGATAGTAACCATAATATTTGGTTACGAAGAGGAGTAAATGTATTCTTCTCTAAATTATCCAAATCATTTGGACCCAATGTTTTAACATAATTTTAACGTGAATAAATCCAACGCTTAAACTAACCAAAAGAATACCAGCTTCAAACCGAATATGATTGAAAACGTATATTATCAGACCATTTTATCAAGGATCACATAGTCGAGATGAAGTCTAAAAAGTATAGTATTTAACAATTAATTACTTACTTACTTACTTACTTACTTACTTACTTACTTACTTACTTACTTACTTACTTACTTACTTACTTACTTACTTACTTACTTACTTACTTACTTACTTACTTACTTACTTACTTACTTACTTACTTACTTACTTACTTACTTACTTACTTACTTACTTACTTACTTACTTACTTACTTACTTACTTACTTACTTACTTACTTACTTACTTACTTACTTACTTACTTACTTACTTACTTACTTACTTACTTACTTACTTACTTACTTACTTACTTACTTACTTACTTACTTACTTACTTACTTACTTACTTACTTACTTACTTACTTACTTACTTACTTACTTACTTACTTACTTACTTACTTACTTACTTACTTACTTACTTACTTACTTACTTACTTACTTACTTACTTACTTACTTACTTACTTACTTACTTACTTACTTACTTACTTACTTACTTACTTACTTACTTACTTACTTACTTACTTACTTACTTACTTACTTACTTACTTACTTACTTACTTACTTACTTACTTACTTACTTACTTACTTACTTACTTACTTACTTACTTACTTACTTACTTACTTACTTACTTACTTACTTACTTACTTACTTACTTACTTACTTACTTACTTACTTACTTACTTACTTACTTACTTACTTACTTACTTACTTACTTACTTACTTACTTACTTACTTACTTACTTACTTACTTACTTACTTACTTACTTACTTACTTACTTACTTACTTACTTACTTACTTACTTACTTACTTACTTACTTACTTACTTACTTACTTACTTACTTACTTACTTACTTACTACTTACTTACTTACTTACTTACTTACTTACTTACTTACTTACTTACTTACTTACTTACTTACTTACTTACTTACTTACTTACTTACTTACTTACTTACTTACTTACTTACTTACTTACTTACTTACTTACTTACTTACTTACTTACTTACTTACTTACTTACTTACTTACTTACTTACTTACTTACTTACTTACTTACTTACTTACTTACTTACTTACTTACTTACTTACTTACTTACTTACTTACTTACTTACTTACTTACTTACTTACTTACTTACTTACTTACTTACTTACTTACTTACTTACTTACTTACTTACTTACTTACTTACTTACTTACTTACTTACTTACTTACTTACTTACTTACTTACTTACTTACTTACTTACTTACTTACTTACTTACTTACTTACTTACTTACTTACTTACTTACTTACTTACTTACTTACTTACTTACTTACTTACTTACTCACTTACTTACTTACTTACTTACTTACTTACTTACTTACTTACTTACTTACTTACTTACTTACTTACTTACTTACTTACTTACTTACTTACTTACTTACTTACTTACTTACTTACTTACTTACTTACTTACTTACTTACTTACTTACTTACTTACTTACTTACTTACTTACTTACTTACTTACTTACTTACTCACTTACTTACTTACTTACTTACTTACTTACTTACTTACTTACTTACTTACTTACTTACTTACTTGCTTACCTGCTTACCTATTAATGCCCGTTAGTTTTCGTGGATGATTTGTAATGTTCATTCAATATTTTTTTGGACTCTCATTTGATGATCAATCTCCACCTAATAACAAATGAATCTATTTAAATTCATCAATATTTTGGGATAGTATAAACTAGATAATAAGTAAACTTCATGTTTGATGCAAAAACCATTAGAGATTTGTATAAGCCCATCCATAGTATGTAAATTAGAAGTAAACTGTGTTACATTATTAATTGTAGAATGTGATGTTCTAAAATATAAAATCTAGAAACAACCCTATGCGCTCGTTTCATTGTGTTTAACGAACCATATTTGAGGTAGACAATAAAGTGGTTTCGATTTGAAATAAATCTTATGCTTTATGTAATAATCCATTTGATGCTGCAACTATTAACTGGTGTTTTCTAAGATTATTTATATATATATATATATATGAAGTAAATTCTTATTTCGTAATATGGTGTGTCCATCATTTAATCCCACTAGTGAGTAACTAGTTTATTCATAACTCACTGGTGAAACAGGGCACAAGATTAATTTCGAAGGGAACAAAATGCTTGAGAAAGGTTCTAGCACACATGAAGAAAGATTAACCACAGAAACGCTTTATATATATATATATATATATATATATATATATATATATATATATATATATATATATATATATATATATATATATATATATATATATATATATATATATATATATATGGGCTGATAAGAACAGTCTGAATTAAAATCGTGGCATTCAACTAGCTACCACGTGGAAAATGTTCATTAACAAGTAATTGGACCCTATCTCTATCCAACCCTGTTTACTTCATATGTAATGTTATTCTGACAGAAATTCATTTGAATAGTTTATTATTGAAGTTATGTATTTTAATAATTGAATTGATGAGTAGTCGATTTAAGCTAGACCACCATAGAAGCATTG